TTGTATTCAACTCAGTATATCTGAAAATTATTTCAAGAAGTAATCAATTTTTTTAATTACAATGAAATACCTAACATTCTTTTTGTTGTTGTTGTTGTACTAATTCTGCAATAATCTGGTGTGTACTTGATACAACACATCGCAACTCAAACTAGTCACATTTCAAATGCCATCTGGTCACAGATGCCTAGTGGCTACCTGAATGGTTGCTGAGTCTTTTAAAGATTAAGACCTCAGAAAAACATCCCCACCTTCAAAAACATCGAAATACATTTATTAAACAAATGGGTGAAAGGAAAGAAAGAAAGAGGAAGGCAGGATGAACAGATGTCCCTGACCTGCGTAGACTTCTGGGCCTAGGGTTGCAGTTCAGAACTTGGCCTGTGGAATAAGCTCAAATCCACATCTTCCACTTGGTAGCTGTGCTTTGTTAGTTAACAAGCTCTTTTATATGTCTCAAAGATAAACTAAAGATAAAAATAACTTCTCTTTCCTAAGATTGTTATGAATTGAAAGGTTGTAGAGGAAACGGGGTGTCCATACAGAAAGTTCCACTTTGTAAAAGGTCAGGAATGAAAGTGGGGAAAACTGAAGGAAATAATGAGCAAATTAGCTAGAGACAATAAAAAGGCCATGGAAGAGAAAAGCTGGTCATGTGATAGTCACAGCATCTGTGTTAAATGCCCAGTTACACAAAACAACTGCCACAGTGGCAGCTATTAATAAAATAATTGCAGTGACATTTCTACAGCCCTCAACGGTTTATACCTCCTAAGCCTGACTGCTTTCTTTAGACAGAATGATAAGGGCTGGCAGTGGGGGAAATGGCTGGCTGCCAAAATTTAGAGAATCAAGATTTTTTGGTAGTGTATATATTAATCACAGCTTCTGGCCTCAACTAGACGGATTAGTGAAAATACAGGGATCTTTCCTTGAAGGATGACGTTGCTGTAGTGCCTCAAATTCAATTGGAACATTACTCTTCTTTATGTATTACAAATACATATAATTAGATGTTTACTATTCCTACAACTTTCCTTGAAAGTTGGTTTGCAAATAAAGTCTTGATATTTTATTTTAAACTTGCTCTTGTTCTGTGCCTCTTCCACCACCACCAGTCCCCCCACCAAAATTCAACTAAGAAAAAGTATAAAGTTAGCCTAGTCTGCTAACAAAGACTTTTAATGCTTATTCGTGTTAATAATCTAAGTCACAGTACTCTCTAATTTAGACTTGGGGTTTCTTAAAGACAACTAACAAGCCTGCTCTATTACAGCCACCTTCCAAACTGAGATTTTCCTAGAAAGTATTTTCTATAATATTCATGTCCCTTGAGATTATGTGTTCCATAAAAGTGACTTTAAAAAAAAGTCCCTAAGTAAATTCAACCCATTTTTGTTTATTGCAAGATTCCTTGGAGTCTTTAATATGCTCATGTACACAGATTTCAAGCTGCTATGAGTGAGTGAGTGATAGTCGCTCAGATGTGTCTGGCTCTTTGTGACCCCATGGACTGTAGCCCTCCAGGCTCCTTTGTCCATGGAATTCTCTAGGTAAGAATATTGGAGTGGGTTGCCATTTCCCTCTCCAGTAGCTTCTTAGCAGCTTCCTTCTCATGCTGCTATGCTCAGCCACTATTACCATTCTACCTCTGGGTGGGGACCAGTTCAGTTCAGTTGCTCAGTCGTGTCTGACTCTTTGCAACCCCACGAATCGCAGCACGCCAGGCCTCCCTGTCCATCACCAACTCCCAGAGTTTACTCAAACTCATGCCCATCGATTCGGTGATGCCATCCAGCCATCTGATCCTCTGTCGTCCCCTTCTCCTTCTGCCCCCAATCCCTCCCAGCATCAGGGTATAGCAGTCTACAAATGAGAAAAATGATAAGTGAATCAAGAGAATCAAATGACAGGAAGAGAGCCTAAGTAACTCACGGAAGTAGACATCTCTTCCGACCTTTACAGCAAGTGTTCAGCCTGAGGGCCTGTACTCTGCAATTCTCCCTTTTGTTACCCCTGATACATACACAGTAATTAACCTATCTGTGTGTGCTGCGCTCAGTCACTTCGGTCGTGTCTAACTCCTTACAACCCTATGAACTGTAGCCCCACCAGGCGCCCCTGTCCATGGGATTTTCCAGACAAGAATACTGCAGTGGGTTGCCATTTCCTCCTCCAGGAGATCTTCCCAACCCAGGGATTGAACCCATGTCTCCTGCATTGCAGGCAGATTTTTTACCACTGAGCCACCAGGGAAGCCCCAATTAACCTATCAGAGTCCTCCACATGAAGGCAATTTATTAGAAAAGAAGGAAGGGAGGGAGGAAGAAAGAAGCGAGGAGGAAGGACTGGAATAGGGAGAAAGAGAGGAGGGAGGAAATTTCTTTTAATGATGTAGTGAGTGTAAACATCACATCATATTCACAGGCAAAGTTTAAATGCCTAAACGCATGCCTAAGGATGAAGCTACATGAAACATTCACTTGTACCAAACCCACCCCTTGGAAAATAAGCCTCATTTTCAAAACAACCAAACAGCTGCTCAGCTGAAACACAGCACAAATCATCCTTCCCAGCCTTTATTTTTAGATGCCTCTTAAGTAAAACAATAATTTTCTAGAGAATATAATTAAAACTGGTAGGTGTCATTTCATTATTTTAGAGTTTTATTATAATTCATTTCACATCAGTCACACTGTTTCCCCCTCATAAATCACATAATTATATAATATTCCATAACAAATTCCTTGCCTTTGAATAAAAGAATCTATATGAACTTTTAAAAATATACAGACTTTAAAACAGCACAATCCACCCAGAATGTTAGTATAGCCAACAGGTTTAAACACAGGGAGTCTAAAAGTCAGCCCATTTTTCAAATGATAATTTGGAGACGTGTGTATGTCTAAACAAACAAACAAACAAAAATGTACCTCTGTCATGTAAAGCACAGTTTACAAAATGTCTAATGAAAAAGAATATGCTTAATAGATCATAGGATTTCATTGGCAGAAACGAATGCTAATTGCCTGCTGGAGTCTTTAATGAAACCTAATTGCTGGCTTGAGCTGTCACCACTGACCCTGGTAACAGACCAGTACACCCTTCATAAACCTAATACAGCATAATCCTCCTTCATTATGGTTATCACAGCTCTGCAGTGGGACACGTCTGCCACAAAAATAAACTCTGCTGCCCCTCCTCTACAAGGATGCGTGGCTTCTCTATCCCAGAGCAAGTAGCACTGATGGCAGAAGTCACCCTTACAACAAATGGTACCACTTCACAGCCCAGATCTACTTCCACACCTAGATGCACACAGACTCTCGGACACTGCTACAGAAAACATCAACACAGCCCGTGATCATGGGGGGAAAGACCAAACAAGAACAAACCAAAACAATTATACTACCCCCTGTCACCATAAGGTAAATGGGAAAAGCAGAAGAAATAATGTCTAAAACTAATCATGGGTTTGACTTATGAAATCCATGTATAAATCCATCCTTGGGTTGGGAAGACCCCTGGAGGAGTGCATGACAACCCACTATTGTCATGACAACTCCAGTATTCTTGCCTGGAGAATCCCACGGACACAGCAGCCTGGCAAGCTGCAGTTATAGGGTCGCAAAGAGTCAGACATGACTGAAGTGACTTATCACATACATGTATAAATCAAATTCAGTCTATAGTCTACATTCCTGATACTGAATCCACAAGATACTCCTTTCTTCAATTTGAAGTTTTTTTTGGACATGCTCTTAAAAAAAAATTACTTCAATTAAAAACACTAATCTTACAGCTATGATTCAACAATTCCAAGCATTTACTGAATATCTACTTTGCAGCAGGGGCCAAGAACCCAAAGATAAGTAAATCTACAAAACATGTCCCCAAAGAGCTCAAAACTATAGGGAGATAGATGAACAAACAGCTATAATTTAATGTGGTGCTTATGAGTAAAGAATGAGGAGAAGACCAAAGGAAGACAGACCAGGTGACAATGAACTCTTCCAAATGATAAAAAGGGAATGTCAGACAAAACATCTAAGAAGATACAGAACAGAAGAAATTAGTATGTGACCAGATGGGAAAAGGAATTCAAGGGAAGAGTAAGAGTACACATGAGTCAAAGCCAGGATGTTTCAACCGTGAGAAATGTTTCCAGCCCAGGCTGGCAGTTAGGTTAGGTGGGAACAAGAGCTGTGCATGCAGAACCCGGAAGGCTCAGCTAAGTCTGCACTTGACCCTGGGCAGCGTTGTGTATGGTTAAAATTAAGTACATCAGACATACAAGAGAACACAGTAAACATACATGTTCCTACCACTCAGCTTAGGAAATAAAAGAACACTACACTTCGGTCCTCACCCTCACTACCGACTTGTCCTCTGTATTTGGTGTTAACTGTCTTTCTGGTATTTATTTACCCAGTTAACCCTTGAACGTGATCTGAACTACATGGGTCCACTTATACTTGGAATTTTTTCAACAGTAAGTACCTACAGTGCTACCTGATCTGCATTTCTGGAATCCATGGATGTGGAACCACAGATATGAGGGCGGAGGGGGGTGGGTACACAAGTCTATGTTACATGAGAATTTTCAAATGTGCGAAGGGTTGGTGCCCCCCTAATACACACACTGTTCAAGGTTCAACTTTACTTTTATGACTGGTGTATGTATCTCTGAACAGTATCAAATGGCAAGACAGATTTCAAGCAGGAGAAGGAAAATACAGACGTGCTTTGCTTTTTTTTTGGGGGGGGGTGGCCTGCACAGCACAGCATGTAGGATCTTAGTTCCCGACCAAGGATGAAACCTGCACCCCGTTACCCTCCATTCAGTGGGAGCGCAGAGTCTCACCCGCTGGACCCCGAGGGAAGCTCCAGCTGCGTCTAAAACGGGACTCGGAGGCGTAGGGGGCGGACCGGTCTCCGCGCCGGCAGAAGCAGGGACAGAGAGAGGTCAGGATAACTGTCTTTCCTGAAGCCCTGTCGCCATGGAGAGAAAAGGTTCCCTCAGAGGGCATCCCCGGGGCAAGCAGGAGGCAGACCCGAATGAACAGGTACAGGCGACCAGCAGCAGCAAAGACGCAACAGTCTGGGGCAAGTCTGCGCTGGGGATGAGGAGGGACGTGGAGAGCAGCGGGGCCAGTGGCAGCTCCTGGGCAGCTGGCAGGCTCAAGACAGGGCAGAGGCGGTTAACCAGGACCAGGGCACAGACAGGTCAAGGCCACGATGAAGTGCCCGAGGGGAGACCTTCCTGGTGGTCCAGCGGCTAAGACGCCATGCTCCCAACAGACAGCCCAGGGTGGGGCCCAGGTTCAATCCCAGGGCAGGGAGCTAGATCCCACCCGCGGCAACTAAGACCTGATGAGTGGATGAGTGAGTGAAGTCACTCGGTCGTGTCCGACTCTTTGCGACCCCGTGGACTGTAGCCCACCAGGCTCCTCTGTCCATGGGATTCTCCAGGCAAGAGTACTGGAGTGGGTTTCCATTCCCTTCTCCAGGGGATCTTCCCGACCCAGGGATCGAACCTGGGTCTCCTGCATTGCAGGCAGACGTTTTAACCTCTGAGCCATCAGGGAAGTCCCTGACACCTGATAGAGCCAAATAAAGAAATAAAGTTGTTTTAAAAAGTGGCAGAGGGGCCCAGTCGGGGGGGGCGGGGGGTGCGAGATCAGGAAGGCTGTCCAGGGGAGTGGTGTTTATGGTGGCCCTTTGAAGGTGCTTTGGACAGGTTAGGATGGCTGAGCTCTAGGATTCCTGGGACCTGTTCAGGACAGCTACAGCGTGGCAGAACCCTGGAGAATAGCAGGACATACAGAAGAAATCAGAGGAACACTGTGGGGGGAGGGGGGTTAATTTGTGGAGAACCTTACAGGATCAAGCTCAAGTATATACAGCGTGTACATGTAATTCATAACAAAGTCTCTTTCATGACCATGAGACCTGCCTTAATTCCTTTTACTTGAGAACTGAAATAATGACGAAAGCCCATCTCATGATCTGGGGGTAACATCAGTGATATCAGTGCTGCTCATTACATGGTTCTTATTACACGGTTCTATATGCAGAACCCAGGTGGCTCTGGGTTCTGGAAAAGAATCTACCTGCCAAGCAGGAGACGTAGGTTCGATCCCTGGGTCGGGAAGATCCCTGAAGAAGGAAATGGCAACCAACTCCAGTATTCCTGTCTGGGAAATCCTATGGACAGAGGAGCCTGGCGGGCTACAGTCGATGGGGAACTGGACATGACTGGACATAAACAACAACACTACGTAGAACAGGATAACTGGGTTAAGGACAGGTTGGTATCCACTATGACAACGTCATGGAGGGTCTCTCTCTTTTTCATTTTAAAGACTAGTAACTCAGAGATTGAATAATGAGTGATTTGCCTTTTCCTCATTAATATAAGGTATAAAAGGAAATAATGCACAGAAATGAAATTAAACATACTCTAATCAATAGTACATCTAAACTTGTGAAAACCATTTTGTTTTATGCCTGAAGCCCCAAATGTTCTTACTTACTAATTTTTGTGTGATATTTACACTCCCTTGAAATCCAAGGCTTCCTAGGTTTGAAAAATTAAGAAAGAAAGTAACTATGTGTTTGAAAGTAACCAAGTAAAATAAAACAATAAGAGCCAGAGTCTCAGTAGCTTGAGAAAACAGCTCAGGGATGTGATTCGCCTCCTCAGATGAACAAATAAGATGTGTATCATAAATAGCACTGCTATCTGTTTAACTTTGAAAATCACATACAGTCATTAACATGATATAATCTTCCCAGCGCACCACACCTCCTATTAAAGAATAAACAATAAATTCCACAGCAAACTGGGCTCAAAACCTCCAGGTCAGCATTTCAGAAACACATTCATTCACAGATTCTTTAAACACTTCTTTATAAAGTTAACTCCATTTTATTCTCTGCATAACAGCAATAATAATAGTACCTACTTTACAGGGTTGTTGAAAGACATAATAGAAAGTGCTAAGAACACTGGGATAGAGTCAGCAACAGTAAAGGTAAGCCGTGGCTCTTTCTAACCAACCTCCATACAGGGCAGAGATTCTGAACCAAATAAAACGTAAATCCTGCCGGGAGAAGCTTGTAACTTAGTAGAGGAGACAGGGAGGTAAACATAAATAATACGGTGAGACAGAAATTACCGATAGAGCTAATTGCAAAGTGTTCTGGAACTATAAAGAAAGGAATGCCTAACTGGCGGTGGGAAGGAGTGTCAGGGCAGGGAAAGCTTTGGCTGAACGTGCAGGGGCTAAGCAGGCGGCCAAGGGGAACAGGTCAGTCTGGGTCGGAAGGTAAGGAATAAAGGAAGGGGATTACACATCACCCTTAGGGTCTTAGGGCCCTCGCATATAGAGACAAGAAGAACTGCAGATGGGAATGCGAAGGTAGTCAGGGTAAGGAAGCCTTATCACACAGGTACTAAGAAGCGCAGTAAGAATTTAAATACTATAAAAGGTTTGTGTTTTTAAAAGCTCTTTAAGAGAACAGATGGAGAGAATGTGAAAGACAGCCTTTGAAGCTCTTGAACAATCCCAAGAGGCAGTGGTGATAGAGGGAAAGGAACAAATCAAGGATACTTTAGAGACACAAACTGGAAGGATCTAAGGACTAATTGGGTTTGTTATGGGGGTTTGAGGGGCGGGGGCAGGGGTGCTAACAAAGAGTGACATGTTGAAGAGAACTTCAAGTGCCTGGCTCCAGCAGCTAACTCAGTTCATGTCAGTAAGACAGGAAATCAGAGGCAGCAGCTTTTGTGGCAAGAAACCAATGCGTTCAATTTGAGACAGGTAGAACTGGGCATGTATGGCGGATAAGCAGACGGAGAGAAGTACCAGATAAATAAACCAAACTGTTTAGAACCAAGCGGTGGGGTCAGATGGGAGAGGGTAGCATGCAAATCCATTAAAATGGAAACATCTAATTCATGCTCTCCAAGGGCCTAGCTAGGAATAATTTACCATTAGGTGACTCCCAGCCTCTCCAGAGCGCCAAAACCACCAGAACCAGAATCATTTAAACCACTGCAGTGAAAAACTTAAGTGACTACCACACAAGGCTGAAAGGGGTGAATGGACCAAAATGGCTCATCCATTCTTGAGATGCTGGTGATCAAGGACCAGGAGTATCAGCATCACCTGGGAGTGTCTTAGTTGACTCATTGGAAAAGACCCTGATGCTGGGAGGGATTGGGGGCAGGAGGAGAAGGGGACGACAGAGGATGAGATGGCTAGATGGCATCGCCGACTCGATGAGCATGAGTTTGGGTAAACTCCGGGAGTTTGTGATGGACAGGGAGGCCTGGCATGCTGCGTTTCATGGGGTCGCAAAGAGTCGGACACGACTGAGCGACTGAACTGAACTGAACAGGGAGTGTCTTAGGAATGCAAATTCTCAGGGCCCATCCCAGACCTACAGAATCAGAAGCTAGGGTTGGCATGGGGGATAATACCAGCAAACAGTGTTTAATGAGCCTTCCAGGTGATTCTGAGGCTCATTACCGCCTTAACTAATGTCCCAATTACCTGAAGGGAATGGAATGTGAAAGAAAGAACTCCAGGGAGACAGATTCCCAAAGACTTGAGGAAATGAAGTCCTGGAAAAGGATACACTTTGCACAAAGACAAGCATCAGGAACTTCTGCTAATTTTTGACAATGAAGCCAAAGGAAATCAAGTCAGCGGCCCTCATGGTAAATAGCTCCCCAATTTAGGAATATCGGTCAGTTCTAAAATCTAAAACATCACAAATGTGAAAAGGATGCTCAGCTTCACAGAGGATGTCATGCCACGTTTTTCATTTTCTCACCAGACACCTCCTGGTTGACCAGCATCAAGCACTGACGGGATGGCCACCTAGGGTTTACAGGACCTCTGGAAATGCAACAGACTTCTGGGTCAAGCTAACTGACCAGGCCCAGGATGAAATCCTTGAGTTGGGCCTAATGGAGTCCCCTCAGGAACTAAGCCAAATCAGCCACGTATCAGATTTTACATACAAGCTTGATCCAAGCCTGGCCACAATGTGTTTTTTTCCAGTAGCAAGGACCATAAAACAAGTCCAACAAAAGCTTGAGTGGAGAGTGAAACAAAACCAAGCCAAGGCATATGGAACCAACAGGAAAAAGGGAAAGGAAATTAAAACAATGTTCATATGCCATTTATAATCCAACTTTGGACACATAACCACTCCTATCCCACAAAAAGGTACTTAGTCACTTACCTTTTACCTCAGCTACTCTAAATCCTCATCCACAAGAATTGCATCATATCCTCTCATTCAAAATTATAAATAATTCAGAGATTATTTATTTTCATAATCAGCATGCATGCAATACGCAGCAAAGGCGATGGCTGGTCCTGGCAAAGCGATTTCCTCCCCCTTTCCACTACAAAAACCACCGCCTGATCTGCGTTTCCTAAACTTTCTCCCTCTATTCTTCAAAGGGGTCTTCTTTCACCTGGGACCCGTCTGGAATCCTATCCTGTCGGATCCTCAATCAATTCTTGGCTCTAGCAATCCGTTCGGCTTCTGGAACAGTTACTACACACCTGTCCTGACGTTTTAGGAGCTGTTCGTTTCTTCTAACATCCCCTCCTGCTGGGAGGTTGACATGAAGATCAGTGAGTTAATGTTTGCCAAATACTTCAGGCTTCTCGGATGAAAGGCAACATTAAAGTTCAAGCGACCTGAAGCTGGCAGGACCTGAGAGGCGCGCTGCAATTGACTCCTTAGACCTGAGCTTCAAAGAAGGAAAGCAAGGCTGCAGAGACTCATTTGTGCTGATTGTCTACCTTTTGCATTCTTGCTAAAGGCAGGCGGATTTATTCTAACATCATTTAATTCACTGGATTTCAACATTAGAAAGGCAAGGATCCTTGTGTTAGCACTAGACTCTCGTTATAGGAAGCAGTGTATGGGGGAAAGGATCCCTTTTTCTGCCCTTGTCTACGTGGCTTTCCCTCCCTAAACTAACCTACTGCCTGGTCCTGCAACTCACACCCTCCTTCTACATGAGGGGCTAGCAGCTGCCAGCCAACATGTTTCTTTGAGCCAACACACCAAAAAAAAAAAAAAAAAAGGTCAAAGACAAAGCCTTATGTGTATGTTGGCACGCATGTGAATTCAGGCTGCTGGGGAAAAAGTGACCCGCAAAGAGCACATTCATGGCCACATATAACTCCTGGAGCATAGAAACAGCCATCCTGGACTCAACACTTACTCAGTGTGAGGGAGGCGCTGTGAGCAGAGGGGCATAGGGCATTACACAGAATTCCCCACAAGTATCCTGGCACGTTAACAACTTGCTGGCCCCACCTTAGAGATGAAGGAATGGAGACTCAGGAGGGCTGCAAAGTTCAGTTAACATCACAGCTAAAAGACGGCAGAGCTGGGCCACAAACTGAGCTATATCTCGAACTCCCAGCCCTGGGTCTCCGGCTCCAGCACACCAACAGGCCAGAAAAGCCGCTGAATTTGCTACACACACCCCTTGAACCATTCAATAAGCCCTACGCGGGGCTCAGACTGGGGGAAGGGTAAATTAAATCAGTAAGGGGAGACCACAGAGTCTCATTTTAGACATCAATTTTAACCTCTTCTCCACCAAAATGTGCTTGTTTTCCCTCATTCTTTTTCAAGCAGCACAAGCAGCAATAATTGAATTGGCTAAAGATTTCATCTTATCTCTTTCCCCTGCCTTATCTCTAACAAGGCACACTGCGCTGAGGCTTAGAATGAGTTCAAAAAATGCACAGCATTTGGTGACTGAAGAAGTCCGACTGCAGGACTGCAGATGACAAAGGAGAAGAATACAGAACCCAGGTGGGGGACAAGGTACAATCCAAGGGTATACGTTTGCATCCCTGAAGCCGGAAATAGAAACCCTTAATAAGGAAGGAAGGCACTGGGGGAAAAAGTTCTCCCAGTTGTCAACTTCTGGCTCATCCATTCAGGACAAGTAAGAATTCTCCTAAACATCCTAATTTTACTCTGATTTTTTTAACGTTCCTCCACATGAAAACAGTCTAAATGCTCTTTCCATTACAGCTGTCTGTTCCACAAGGTCTGCACAAACCTGAATATCTAAAGTGTTGACAATAACAACTGTATGTTTAAGCCAATGATGGAGGTTGGACCAGTACCTGGGAATAGCAAGAGTTTCTCTTGAGCCGTTTCTCGAGCCGTTTCTCTCATGAAGGTCCTACGCCTTCAGGAAAGCCATTTTCCAGGAGCTGTTCTTGAGATAGAGAAAGGTGTGTTTCTGTCTTTCTTTCTGGGGGGCTGGGGGAGGCCGAGGCAAACCCCCAGCACTGTAGGAAGTCAATGTGCCCTCCTCACTCGCCTGTACTAGCCTGAGGTCACGAGAACTGGCCTTCCGCCACCTCGGCCAGGACGCAGCCACTATGAAGAATACTACGCCGCCACTTGAGCCCAGTCAAGAGGCACCCTTGAGCGGCAAACCACGTACCGGAGGCTCCTGCGCTATAAAAAGCTTTCTAGGCAGGATCTGCTGAATCCTGGACCAGGAGGCGACGACAATCTGCTAGAAGACATTCCGCTTTTCGTAAAGTTTCAGAGGAAGGAAAAGTCATTCCTCCAACTGTGCTGATGCCGCGATGACATGGGAAAGTGGAGAATACTACAACAAACACAGGCTCACACACACGACCTCAGTCTGCAGAGCACAGACGCCCAGTCAGATTAGGCAAAAGCGCATCTGTGCTCACCAGCTTCCCCTCGTTAAGGCTACCGTTCCCAAGGCACATTCTTTTAACGCCATCACCAAAAGATAAGGCTTCAATACAAGGTTCTGTGAGGGGCGGTATTATCACCTACTGCAGTCAGGTGGCACTTTGAAAGGGAATCAGTACCATTCTGATGAAACCAGGCATGAGCCAATTAGTGTCAATGAAAATGTAGATGGTCCCCCAACCACTGCTAGTTGCAGAACCAGCATCAGGCATCCAAAGAGAGAGATGTGTGCGCCTCCGGAAGCTACTTGGTTCCTAAGTGCTTCCAGTTTAATATCTGATATTAAAAAAAAAAAGCTGTCCTGGCTACACTGAACCAACCAAGCCATAAATCCTCCTTCAGCCCCCAGCTCTCTACTAGGTATGATATCTTCGCACTCGTATTTTGGATGACTCTTACTTTGCACAAGTTCTTTCCTCCCCCCTAGCAGGCACTTTCCTAATCGGTCCTCTAGGTGAGCAACAGCTGAACTCTCCAGACTCAAAGCACACCTGGCCCCCTCGCCTCTGGACCAAGCTTTCCCAGGCCCTCTCAGGACACTCTACTTCCAGATCGGCCAGCGGGTTTCCTCCCGCAGGCTGCAGTTACATCCTGTTTTAGCATCTTTGTATTCCCAGTTCCTAGCCCAGGGGGACAAACTGCAAAACTAGGTTTGTTGAATGAATGTGCCAACTAACTAACCCATTTGAAGAAATTCACACGTTGGTGGAAACCCTGTAACCCATCCCCAGCCAGTGGTCGGGAAATTCCTCACCTTCACAAAGACCCAGCAATGGCCAGCCCCTGGACGGACTAAAGGCGAAAGCCCACAATCGGCCTTAAGCTGTAGGGAGGAGGGGTCGGGTGGGGGTGACGGGACCTGGAAGAAGTGGGAAGGAAAGGGGGTGTCGGGGCAGCGCTTCCTCACTGCTCCTCAAAAAGGTGAAAAACCCCTTCCGAGCGTTGAAACCCCAGAAGCAGGGGTCATGCCAGGAGAAAGGGAAGACGGTGTCTGAACACCACCCTTGGAATTTGTTAATATTCAGAACTTGGGGCGTTCGAGGTGGAGACCTGCTCTGAAATTAGGGGGCCACAGGGTCTCCCTGTGAGTCGGCCGACCACCCAAGTAGGCGCCAAGAAGCCCAGAAGTTTTGTGGCAAGGTTGTGGCCTAGTGGAAGGGCATGGAAATTTCTCCCTCTCAAGATCCTGTCTCCTGGAGGGTGGGGGGGAATTGGGGGCGGGGGGTGGAACGGAGGAGGGTCGCGGCGGGGGACCCTCTCCAGCTTGAGAGGCAGCGACGTCTTTGGCTTTCATCCTCCGGCCCCCGCCGTCTGGGTATCTCAGCTGCCCTCACTAGGCCCTCTGTGGTTCCCCAAAAGAAAACGGCAGTGGGGAGGAGGGGGCGAGAGTGTGAGTTTCACCGTCCACTCTGCAGACAGCGCGCACCTTCCACCGTAACTCCAAGCCGTGAGCATTAGCGGGCGGCTCCCACCGCCACTTAACAAGTCCAGCGGCCCGGCCCCCTCGCGCTCCCGCTGCCCTGCCAGGCGTCCCGGGCCGCCGATCCCAAGTCGGCGTGGCCAGCGTTTGCCCAAGTCATCGGCAAGGCACCCGGAGCGCCTAGGGCGGCCCCCAACCTGGGGCCCGACTCCCCGCCCCAGACCCCGCTTACCTGCTTACATGGCCCCGTCGGAACCCCGGAGTCCCGCGCCGAAAGGCTGCCCTCCGCGGGCGGCGGAGCCCCAAGTCCCCCCAAGGAATTGATTCCAGTGGCTGGCGGAGGAGGGGCGGAGGGAAGGAGCCGGAGGAGGCGAAAGGGGAGGGAGGTTTCCGCCGCGATCCCGGCGCGAGAGTTGGCGCGGGGGCGCCCGGAGAAGGGGGGGAAAGGAGGATCACCCAGGCGCGGGGCTGTCCCGCCAGAGAGGGGGCCGGGACGGGGAGGCTGGCCGAGGTGGGAGGGGACGCGCCGCCAGGGGCCACGGAGTGGCGGCCGCTCGCAGAGAACCGGCGCCCGGAGGGCAGGCGGCGGAACGAGGACGAGCGCAGCAACCTGCCCCCGGACTGCGCCCGCCGCGCCCTCCCCGGGGAGAGAAAAGTTGGGACGAACTTTCAAGGGCCGGGAGAGCCAGAGCGGCAGGAAATGCGAGCGGCCGCGAGAGGAGGGAGGAAGGGGCCTGGCGAGTGGGAGGGGACGGAGCAGGCGCCGGCGGCCGCGGCTCCCCCACCCCCGGGCCCGGCTCGGCGGCGCGGGGGGAGCGCGGGGCGCGCGCCGGGGGCGGGGAGGAATGCGGCGGGACGCGCGGGCGCGCGCGCGGGGGCGCAGGGGGGCGGCGCGGGCAGGGGAGCCCCGGCTCCCGAGCCCCGGGCGCGCGTCCTTGGGGACGTCACAGCGCTGGAATCCGAGGAATGCCGAACTGCCGGAGCTCCTTCTGCAGGCCCGGGAGAAGTCGCGCACTTTTATAAATGTGGTGGCTTTGGGAGAAGGTTTTCAAAGGTGAGGGCTGAGCAGGGAGGACGGGGTGAAACTCCCAGTAGTAAGAGACTGGGGGAGTGGGGAAAGCAAAGGGACCACAGCGAGCCCACCTAGCGCCTCTCCCGGGCGGGGGCTGGGGAGAGGCAGGAAAAATCCCACCGAGACCTCCGCAACCTGCAGAGGCGAGGCCGCGGCGGGACTGGCCCGCCCGGACCTAGAGCGGCCCACCTTATTCGGGGGACCCCTCCAAGCAGGATGTCCCCACGCAGCCACTGCACAGGGCAAACAGACCCGGAGAAAGAAGGTGGCTTCCCAGAGCAGACAATATTAAAGTTATCTGTCCAGGACTCCTGGAACCTCTGGGTACCAAACCTGTGGTCCAAACCACCCCTCACCCGCGCCTCCGGGAACCGCACAGTTAGTGTACCCGAGGAATTAGTGTACCCAAGGAGTTAGAATCCTTTTCCCGGTTTTTTCCATGTCACAGAATCGCCCCACCCAGCCGGCGTAGGCACTGGGAGGAAACTTCCTTGGCATTTTCGGAGGTGGAGTTAATGAGACGCAGCTGGTAAGACGAACCAGGCTCTCGGAGCCCGGTCCGGGAACTCGGGTTTTCGGACCTCCCCTGCCGTCACCGGCCGAGGAGTGTCCCCGTCCCAGAAAGCCTTGACCTCTGTAGCTGTAAAAATTAAAGGATTTGCCTGTTTTTCTGTGGTCCTTGGCATTGCAAAAATAATGCGTTAGGAGTCTGTGGTCTTATTCGAGCCCGATCCTTTCAGCCTTTCTTAGGTTGAATAGGGTCCTCGGAGAATTGCCACTGAGGATGTCGTTCCAAATTCCTTCCGTGTCCCACAACTCAGAAAAATTCCCGGGCTCTTGGGGAAGAGTCTCCTGTACCCATCAGGTACAAATCTGTGGTCACGTGACTTCCCTGAGCATTTGCCCATATCCAAAACTACAAAGAAGCAGAGAAGACCTTAAAGGGATGAAAGGGAAAAGGCTGAAGAGAGTTAAAATCAGTTTCTCCAACTTTCAAGAAATAGCTGGATACTTTCAATATGGACTTGCTGGATGTCCAAAGAAAATTAGGGAGTGCCTTATTGTCCACCAGGAAGTGTGAAAAGCACTTCGTGTGTTCTTGTACTATTATCCCCATTTCAAAGATGAGGAAAGTGAGGTGTGAAGACATTATCTGTCTCACCAAGGATCACACAGCAAGTATACTAATGGACCCTAGTGTGTCTGGCCCCAAAATGCAAACTTATAAACTCTTTAACATTTAACCAGGACAGGATTAAGATCAAAGATAAGGGAATGCCTACAGGCTCTCAAGGTTTCTTGGGGTTACAGGCCTCTTGGGGTTTCAAGGAAAAGACGTGGCATTTGTGTATTTTTGCTCGAAAGTCACTTTGATACCAAACTCTTGGGCACAACACGCTGAGACTGTTGTGTAGAAGAGAAAGGACTTATATGTAGACAGCAGTTGTACCTGGGTGACCCTAAGAAAGCCACTTCACAGGTAAGCCTGAGTTTGTGAAGTGGAATGTGACATGAACTTCGGAGCTTGGTTGAAGGAGTTCATCTCTGAAGTCTTTCCCAGCCTGAACTAGGATGAATATATACTCCTCTGTGCAGATGGCATGCCTATGGAGGAAGCTAAGTGATAAAGCCAGGATGTCTTGGGGGAAGGACTGTTTTCACACCACCTTCAGAATCAAAATAAATGTTGAGAATGTTACTGGGTGTTTAACAGCAAAACAGAAAACCACCAAATAAGATTTAGTACTACTCCTGTGGACTCATTTTAAATAATTTTACTACTAAAAAAAAAAAATGCCTTAGTAATTTGAAAGCCCATAAAGTGGTTAAAAAAACTTTCATTCTCTAGATAAATATATAAAAATAATCACAAGTTTCTTTCATAAGAGAAAGAAACAACCCATTGCCTAAGTCTTCTTTATACTTGAGTCTCCTCAATATGCATCAGAGTGACTAGGAGCTTGGTTGATGGGATAAGCTCCAAACACATCACTACACATTTATTTCAAACTTTGTAATTTTAGGAACTTGTCAATATTAAATATGTTCCCAAATCTTTCAGTTGGTTCTAAGCCCAATTTAAACTACAAATAAAGGCCAAATCTCATGGGCCACCGTGATTCCTCCTGCCTCCGAGGTGTTTCTCATTAGTTTATTAATTTTGTACCTTTAAAACCATTGAAAAGCAAAACAAAATAAGTTCCCCAATCAAACAAACCTGGAAAGTGAGCAGGCTCTCTTCGGAGAAGTCTGACAACCACTAGGGCCCTTCTACAAAATGTAAAGTCATAGATAAGTAGAGAGAGAGAGAGAATGTTTGCTTTTATCCTAAGTCTAATTTCAGTTCCTAAGAGGATATTTGTCAGTTTACTGTCAAAGAGGAAAAGAGAAAAGAGAAGCTTTTTCAAAATACACATCCTCTGTAAGCCCTGCTCCCCATGTCTCATTCATCTTATCCCCGTGGTCTCGGGTAGAGAGACTCCAGTTGGTGTATATATATATATAATTCATACTCCATAAAAATGTACATACAACGTGACTTTTTCACGCAGATATATCCATGTGAAAACCACCCAAATTAGGATATAGAAAATGTCCATCAGCACAAAAACTTACCTTAAGTGACTTTTCAGTCAGTATCACCTCTCAAGATTAACTTCTACTACCATAGACTAGTTTTGCAGGTTCTCAAACGTCGTATAAATAGAATTATAAATATAATGTGTGTTATGTATATGTGGGTCTGGGTCACAAGTTGCTTACCCATTCTTCTGTTGGTATACTGGGTGAGTATATTTTGAAAACATTTCCCAAGTAATTCTGTTATGCCTGACCACCTCCAATTCAGAACTGTTGAGTAACAACAAAAGTAATCATAAATAAGCCTAGATTATTAACACCTACAAAAAATATTAAGTAGCAGAGGAGGAAAAATCATTTTAGAACAACCAACTTTAAGAGTTTTTTAATGGTAGTACACATTCAGAGATTCTTCTCAATAAAAACAAAGTAGGAAATTGACTGGAATACGGACTTTGGGTCATCAGTGACTTTTGAAAAAGCTATGTGACTATGCAGAGCTGTCACGTGCAGCCGCAGGCACAGTAAACAGTACTCCACGAGCTCAAGTAGTCTGCACTGTGAATGGCATCCTCTGGATAGGGCACTGTGGTGGCTGTGATATTATGAGCTCTCATTTTAGAGATATTAATAACTTCATGGAATCTGCTTTGGAAGAATCATTTCTGACACAGAAGACTGAGCCCTTCCCTCCTGGTTGCATCTTTGTGGACTTTAAATGTGTGGAAGAAAAGTGCCTTTTTTGAGCGGGGGGTCGGGGGGGCATGCCATTCAGCTTGTGGGATCTTAGTCTTAATTCCCCAACCAAGGATTGAATCTGTACCCTTGACAGTGAAAGTGCTGCACCCTAATCACTGGATCACCAGGGAATTCTGAAAAAGTGACTTTCTAAAACTCAGATCTCCCCATGGTGACTAAAGGCAGGAAGTCACACCATGCTCAAATAAATACTGCTAACATAACGGAAGAGGTGGCAAGAATATACAGAAGAACTATACAGAGAAGATCTTCATGACCCAGATAATCACGATGGTGTGATCACTCACCTAGAGCCAGACATCCTGGAATACAAAGTCAAGTGGGCCTTAGGAAGCATCACTACGAACAAGCTAGTGGAAGTTATGGAATTCCAGTTGAGCTATTTCAAATCCTAAAAGATGGTGCTGTGAAACTATAGCACTCAATATGCCAGCAAATTTGGAAAACTCAGCAGTGGCCACATAACTGGAAAAAGTCAGTTTTCATTCCAATCCCAAAGAAAGGCAATGTCAAAGAATGCTCAAACTACCTCACAGTTGCACTCATCTCGCACGCTAGCAAAGTAATGCTCAAAGTTCTCCAAGCCAGACTTCAACAATATGTGAACCATGAACTTTGAGATGGTCAAGCTGGATTTAGAAAAGGCAGAGGAACCAGAGATCAAATTGCCAACATCTGCTGGATCATTGAAAAAGCAAGAGCATTCCAGTAAAATATCTACTTTTGCTTTATTGACTATGCTAAAGCCTTTGACTGTGTGGATCACAACAAACTGGAAAATTCTTCAAGAGATGAGAACACCAAACCATTTGACCTGCCTCCTGAGAAATCTGTATGCAGGTCAAGAAGCAACAATTAGAACTGGACATGGAACAACAGACTGGTTCCAAATCGTCAAGGCTGTATATTGTCACCCTGCTTATTTAATTTATGTGCAGAGTACATCATGAGAAATGCCAGACTGGATGAAGCACAAGCAGAATCAAGATTGCTGGGAGAAACATCAAACACCTCAGGTATGCAGATGACACCTCTCTTATGGCAGAAATCGAAGAACTAAAGAGTCTCTTGATGAAAGTGAAAGATGAAAGTGAAAAAGTTGGCTTAAAACTCAACATTCAGAAAACTAAGATCATGGCATCTGGTCCCATTGCTTCATGGCAAATAGATGGGGAAACAATGGAAACAATGACAGACTTTATATTTTTGGTCTCCAAAATCACTGCAGATGGTGACTGCAGCCATGAAATTAAAAGATGCTTACTCCTTGGAAGAAAAGTTATGACCAACTTAGCATATTAAAAAGCAGAGACATTACTTTGCCAACAAAGGTCCATCTAATCAAAGCTTTGGTTTTTCCAGTAGTCATGTATGGATGTGAGAGTTAGACTATAAAGAAAGCTGAGCACTGAAGAATTGATGCTTTTGAAGTTTGGTGTTGGAGAAGACTCTTGAGAGTCCCTTGAACAGCAAGGAGATCCAACCAGTCCATCCTAAAGGAAATCAATCCTGATTATTCATTGGAAGGACTGATGCTGAGCTAAAACTCCAATATTTTGGCCACCTGATGCAAAGAACTGACTCATTTGAAAAGACCCTGATGCTGGGAATGATTGAAGGTGGGAGGAGAAGGCAACAACAAGGATGATATGGTTGGATAGCACCACCGACTCAATGGACATGAGTTTGAGTAAGCTCCGGGAGTTGGTGATGGACAGGGAAGCCTGGCGTGCTGCAGTCCATGGGGTCGTAAAGAGTTGGATACGACTGAGCAACCAAATTGAACTGAATGTAACAGGAGACTTTTGTGGACGCATGAATAAGACAAAAGAGCAAGATATCTGTTTTTCCAGTCTCTTTGAGGCCCACCATACCTGCACCCTTTATGTTACGTACTGTCTCCATTTCTTCATCTTTCCTCGTGTCTCAGCTCTCTCATTCTTGATATACCCGGGGCTCTGGCCACCAAGCCTTCTGGGCACCTTATTATCACCCCACTTCATCTCTCTTCTTTTATCCACCTCTCAGGAAGATGCTCCCTGCCTTCCAAAGGTATCATCCTCTGACTTAAGTCAAAGAAGAGAGGGCCCCCAGATCCATGCCCATCAACCAAGGTCACAAATGAATTATTGCCTTGTTTTTTCCTCCTGGAAAGAATTCCAAAGATTTTGGGGTTGTGTTCTTTCAAGCTGGGAGGAGAAAGATAAATCTGTCCTCTGGGACACTGTGCCAGCTCCCCTGGCAACTGCAGTTGACCACGTGGGCAATGGTATCAGCAAGGGTCATATGCACCAGGGCAGCCTCACTCTAGACCAATCACTAGTTTTTCCAAAGAAAATGTACAAGACGCAGCCAATCGTTTACTCTTTAAAATCTGATACAAGAGCAATATATATTAATCAAGTACACTTGAGAAAGGTAATTAATTCACACACATTTGTACTATTTTCAGCAAGTTTTAAAAGAAAGAAAACCTAGGCACCATGAAGTATCTTGCCTATTTCAATGTATTCATTATTCTCTACTAATTTCACCTTAGATCACAAACACACTTTGAATCATGTCTTAAAGGTGCAAACTGGTCACATTCACCAGTCTCAGCTTGCTGACTTTCTCCCCTGCTCTCGGCCCCCACCTTGTCTTTCAGCCTTTCCAGGCTTGATGAGAACACACAGTTTTCCTCCCACACTGACATATGCGTGCCGCGCGCACACACACACACACACACACACACACACACACACACAAATCATCACCATAGCCTCCATGGGGCATACTGCCAAGGAAGAGTTTACCCTCCTTTTACTGCTGTAAGTCATCTATTATCCAGGGAGGGGGTGGGGGGGAAGGTTTCACTATTTCTAGAATAGAGAAATCTTTTCTGGAGAGCTTCTTCATTTTGATTTAAGCCATCTTCAACTTTGTAATGAAACAGAGTCATTTAAAAAGAAGGAAAGAAAGAAAAGAGAGAAGAAAAGGAAGGGAAGGGGGAGGGAAGGAGAAAGGAATGAAAAGGAGAAAGAAAGGCTCTCTGTAGTCAGTTACATGTGATTGATAAACTCAAAACCATAGGCTATTAGAGTGTAACAGATCTGGTGCCTGCGTGCTAAGTCGCTTCAGTGGTGTCCAGCTCTTGGCGACTGTATGGACGGTAGCCCACCAGGCTCCTCTGTCCATGGGACTCTCCAGGGAAGAATATTGGAGTGGGTTGCCATGCCCTCCTCCAGGGGCTCTTCCTGACCCAAGGGTGGAACTCATGTCTCCTCTGCATTGGCAAGCAGATTCTTTGCCACTGAGTCCCCAGGGAAGCGACTTGATAGCTATGTGACCCTGGGCAAAGTACTAAATCTCTCCCACCTGAACTTCCTCACCTGTAAAATGAGGAATTATGAGCATGTTTCTCTCGTAAGGTTGAATCAACGAGGAGTAGTAAGGTTGTGGTGAGTGAGTCAGTAGATAGGAAACTCTTCAAACAGCACCTGGTTCACACTGAACTCTCAATGTGTTACGTACGTATTAATACCATCACCAACCTCATTCTGTAGATTTCTTACAGATTGGATTTCTTGTCTTCAGCAGGAAAATCCATCTGAATCTCAATCCAAATTCCCAGAAGAAAGAATATGTCTTCAGGTGTCAGTGTAGGGTCTTAGAGATAGAGCAGGCTGGGTGCATTTCTCTAGGTGGGAAGGAGAATTCTCAGACAGGAGAGAGTGCCCAGGGAGGCATCTGAAACCACAATGAGAAGGGAAGGGGGGCTTTTTTTTTTTTAACCAAAGTGAAGTCTTGAGAATTCCTCTGTTCACACCTGGCTCCTCGTGGTAGAGAAGAAAGTGACCTCCTAGGATGAGAGTGACAGAGGGAGAAAGGAAGAGAACCAATATTCATTGAGCACTTGCTATGCACTAGGAACAAGGCTAGGTCCTGTATGTACGCAATCTGAAGTAGTGCTTGTGATGCTGTTTGAAGGTTGTAGGCTGAACGGTGTCCCTCCGAAATTCATACGTTGAAGTCCTAAGCCCCAACAGGGCTGTATTTGGGGATAAGGACTTTACAGAGCTAATTAGGGTTACATGAAGTCATGAAGGTGGGGTTCCAATCCAATAGGACCCGTGTCTTTATAAGTAGAGGAAGAGATTCCAGAGCTTTCTCTCTATGTGTGCACAGAGGAAAGGCCATGTGAGGACACAGAAGGAGGCTATCTGCCTGCCAAGGAGAGAGGCCCCTCCAAAAACCAACCTGACAGCACCCTAATTTGGACTTCCAGCCTCCAGAACTGAGACTATTGGTTTCTGTTGTTTACACCACACAGCCTGTAGTGTTTCACTGTGGCAGCAGTAGCAGGCTGTTAGATCGAGGTTAGTGTTTTCGTTGTTTAACAGAGAAATAAACTGAGATCTCAAGACCTTAAATAGCTGCATTTAGACGAGTACCTAAGTACCTATGTACATGGCAGAACCAAGATTCGAATATGGACCTCTCTAATTCCGATTGTTCATTTTCTCCCTAAGCCATCATGTTGCCGCAAAGTTTATTGAGTACCAGGATAGGTCAGGAATAGGGGTAGGTGGTGGCCGAGCTTGGATGGTATAAACGGGAAATGAAACCATCAACAGGGCAGAGTCAAAATTCCCTACGAAGAGGACAGCTGTACTTGGCTGATGTTAAATTCTGCTAATGAGAAGACACATATCCAGAGTGTGTATCTCCGATTATTTTAAATCCTTCTGTTCCCATGTCTTTCTGAGTACACCTAGTAAAAGGGGGAAGGGAAGCTGCCGCCATATGGTCTTGGAGCGAATCCTTTCAAAGAACTCACTACTAATCTCACTATTAATTGTTTCTTCAGGGAAGCCTGGTGCACTGAAGTCCATTGGATTGCAGAGTTGGACATGACTGGGTGACGGAACAACAGTATTTATGTCATCGGCTCCCAAGATTCCTATGAATTAAAGTCCTCACTTTTTAGCTGCGTGAAGTCCAAGAAGTGGCAATTTGGGTCCGTGGTCCTTCCTAGCACACAGAAGATCGCCTTCAACTGGCGTGAAGTCACCATTTCTGGTAGTGCAGAGTCATTTCTGTTCATGACCTCAATCTCAAAAGGTCAGAAATACCCTAGTTTCTAAGAATAGTTACTTGTGAATCTCTCATGAATCCATGAACTGAGCTAAACTGTTCTTCATCTGTTTATATCCCTACCTGGGCCAGCTCTGAGGAAGGTACACAGCTATAGAATTTACCAGGGCTGGCCAAGGAGCCATCAACACCTCAAGGAGCTGCGTGAGGGCAGGTCAATGAGAGCTGTAATTATCCCTGTCTAACCATCTCCAAAATATCTGCCTGTTGTCATTTTGTGGCATGGTAGTGGCAATAGGTGCCAGGTTGCTAAGAATAACTGGGCTAGAGAAATCTTGAGTGGAATCTTAAAATCGTTGTTCGTAGGAGACAAAGTGATGGCTAAGCGCACTGTTATAAAAGTCAAGTCAGCCAGGACGTTTCTGAGTAAAAATCTCAATAGATTCCCCCTCTTCACTATGTACATTTTCCAGTCCTTTCCCACCAACCTCAGAGGAAAAATGTTTAAAGCCAGAGCGTCAGTCTGAACCTTCTTAAAATGATGGCATTCAGAATAAAGGGGCCAGGCGAGATACAGCCCTTTCACTGACACTGTGTTTGCTGATATTGGCAGCTGCCCTAAAACCTCCCTGAAAATATATCCAGCCTGAGGAAGCCGGATTCCAACTTTATGGGCACTGACTCTTCTCCATCTCGTGTCCTGAATGTGACATTTAAATAAAGTCCCAATAAAAGGTAATTCATTAGTTCGTTTTTTCCCCCTCACCTCTTTGGTTCTGAGCTTTTTTTCAAATGTAATTTAAACACCTAAATGAAATTGTCAGTAAATAATAATGCAAATTGTACTACTGCACTTATGGAAGTCAAAAAAAGCTAGATAGACTTCCAGATGGATTACAGATTCAGAGAGGACTGGAAAATAGAACAAGAAAGGGTGCATTTGTTTCTAACATTGGCCGCTATTGTCAGAGCACCCCTCTGAAGGTATGGGCCATGAAAAGAATCTTCTGCTGTGATTAGCAACAAGGAACAACCTTTGCTGGGGGAGGGAAGAACCAGGTCGTGTTTGGGATGCCTTTCTAAAGAACATGGACTCCCCAGCCTGCAGGGGTGAGATAGGGTTACCCCCAAGTATGGGCAGGGCTATGTCAGTGAATCCAATAGCACTAAATCAAAACCTCCTCTTAAGACCCGGCTGCTTCCTGGCTGCCTCCCCTAGAATAAGGGGTGACTCAGAGGATGGCTGACTCCCTAACTTCAAACATTTCTGAGTAATTCCCACAGACCCAGACAAGGGCAATTAGAGGACTGGTTTGGAATGACCACTGAGGATTGCAGGATTCTTATGGTGGCCAGCAGGGCAAAAGCAAATGGTCTAGGAAGCTCAATTTTGAGGTGTCTTCTGCTACAATTAGGAGACAGAGGTACCTTCTGACATCCTAAATCTTAAGATGCTAGAAGGAGTTTAGTCATGTAGGAGGGCACGTCCTGAGCTTCCCTCCTGATGGGCACCTTTGAGGTCCTGGGATACACAAAAGACAGAGCTTTTATATGCTGAAAGAAAAACTAGCTACCTTTCCAATCTAATTTCCAACAATACTTCCCTGACTCTCTCTGCCCCCTGGATGCCGGCATTCTGCTATTCCTTGAACATACAGTCTGAATACTCTCCCACCCCAGGATCTTTGCATGTACTGTTTCCTCTGCCAAGAACTCCACTCCTCTAGGTGTTTTTTCACTTCAGTCCGTGGACAGAACTTTCCCAACCATCCTGTCAAAATAGAAGCTCTTCACACTCCATCCTCTCTTCCTTTGTGTGCATGCTCAGTCATGTCTGACTCTTTGCGACTATATAGCCCACCAGGCTCCTCTGTCCATGGAATTTTCCAGGCAAGAATATTGGAGTGAGTTGCCATTTCCTCCTCCAGGGGACCTTGCTGACCCAGGATTGAACCCACGTCTCCTGCATCTCCTGCATTGGCAGGTGGGTTCTTTACCACTGAGCCACCTTGGAAACCCTCTCTTCCTTCACCCTGCTCTAATTTTGTTGATAGCACATACACTACCTAACATTATATATCTATTTATATTATCTATTTGCATTTGTTTCTTTATTGACCCCACCCCAACCCCTGCCCCTCCAGACGCTCCATCACAGGTAGAGATTTTTGTCTGTGTTGGTCACCACTGTATTCCATTGCCTGGTACATAGATCTTCAACAAACTTTTTATGAATATTTGGATAAATAAAAACTGTATAATTTCATGTAATTATATACAGTTATTTTCCTGTGCTCAGAATTCTACATGTACTATGTTATTTAATCTTTACAACAACCCTAAGAAGTAGGGGTTATAATCTCCCATATATAGATGAAGAAATTGAGGATTAGAGAGATGGAATAACGTATCTGTTTTTGTTGCTATTTCTAGCTGGTGGTTTCTGTGTTTAGGGGGTTTTGATGTTTGTTTGCTTGTTTGTCTTTGGCAGCACTGGGTCTTAGTTGAGGCACACAGGCTTTCTCTAGTTGTGGCATGTGGACTTAATTGCCCCATGGTGTGTGGGATCTTAGTCCCCCAACCAGGGATTGAACCGTGTCTCCTGAATTGGAAGACAGACTCTTACCCACTGGACCACTAGGGAAGTCTGGCTGTTTTTAAGGACCTCAGTCACATGGAGTTAAGTGCTATGCTTAGTCACTCAGTCATGTCCAAATCTTTGCAACCCCATGGATTGTAGCCCACCCAGGGGATCTTCCCACCCAGGGGATCTTCCCACCCAGGGATCAAACCCAGGTCTCCCACATGGCAGGTGGATTCTTTACCATCTGAGCCACCAGGGAAGCCTGGACTTATCTCCATTCCGAACATACTCTGTTCTTCAGTTTATGTACGGCCTCTCTTTTGCTTATTTTATAATTTTCCCTCTTTATGCCCTGTTCCTAACTTGGTTCTCTTCCTTCAGATTTGCATTTGATATTGTATGTCTAGGGCAGTAAATGATAGTTAAGGGTCCAGCTAGTTTGCCTGGACTGACCTCCTGGTTTTGCCACTTATTAGCTGTAACATTAGGAAATTCTTGGTCATGTTTCTTGAATTTTGGTCTCTCTCCATTTCCTTTTTCTCCTTCTGTGTCTCTGATACAGAGACTTTAACACTAACCTGATTCTCCATGTTTCTTTTCTCTCCATTTTCCATTCTTTATCCTTACACTTTCTTTGCCTCCTGGGGAAACTCCTTAACCTAATCTTCCAACTCATATATTTACTAGATACCTTCATTCTGTAAGCAAGCCATTGAATTATTTATTCAATAACTACAGCGTTTTAAAATTATTTTTTCCATTTTATTGAGGTATAATCAACAAAATTGTTAGATACTTAAAAATATATGATGCCACGATGCGATATATGTAAACATTGTGAAAGGATTTTGCCCATTAAGTTAACACATCTATCATCTCACATATTTACTGTTGGCGGGTGGGTGAGAACCTTTAAATTCTACCCCTCTTAGCAACTTTCAATTACACAAGAGTGTTACTGACCATAGTCACCAGGTTACACATTAGGTCCTCAGACGTTATTCATCTTGTAACTGAAAGTTTGTACCTTTTACCAACCTCTCCCTATTTCCCCCACCCTCGAACTCCTGTTTCTACTCTCTAATTCTATGAATTTGACTTTTTTTTTTTAGACTCCACCTAGAAGTGACACCATCACTACTGTCTTTCTCTGTCAGGATTCATTCTAATTCTTTTACTTTTCTAGTAAGAACTGTTTACTCTCACTTTATGTTTCCAATATCTTCTCTCACCTCTTCAGGCATATTTGTTATTCTGGTTTTAAATTCTTTTCCTCTTTTCCATGAGTTCTGCTTTCTCTGACATAAGTTGTCCAGTTGGTTGTCCCTCAGACTCACAGCCCTCAGTATTTGCCTTCTGAACTCATCCTTGTTCCTTCGGGACGTGTGTGTGTGTGTCCAGTTGCTCAGTCATGTCTGACTCTTTGCCACCCCATGGACTGCAGCCTGCCAGGCTTCTCTGTCCATGGGATCTTTCAGACAAGCATACCAGACTGCGTTGCCATTTCTTCCTCCAGGGGATTTTCCCTAACCAGGGACGGAACCCGCGTCTCCTGCATCTTCTTCATTGGCAGGCTAATTCTTTATCCCTGAGCTGCCTTGGTTAGCAAAATTCATCTGTGGAGAGGGGCAGACATCTATAGTAAGCTTATGTTGCTCTAGATGAATTGGTGTCTATATTTGTTATGTGCGTTTGTGGGAAAGGCACAGAGCTTTGCTCAACTGGTCTCCAAGGAACTTCTAAATTATCTTTTATTGGAGGCAACCACTCTGTATCATAAGTAGATGCCATAGTGGGGATGAGAGCGAGGAGATGTGTGTGTGGAGGGGGTATTATTAAGGACTGGTCAGACCAGCTACACTCATTGCCATCTGCTTATCCCCGTACCTGGTCTGAGCTCTGCCTTATAGTTACCCCACTGCTTCTGGCCTATGCTCTGAAATCCTGCCTCCATGGTACCCAAGGAGGGGGAAAATCTTCCTATGGCAACACAGATGAGAAGAGGGCAGAACTAAAATATTTCCCCCAAACTGAGTCCCTGCTCATGACTCCAGGGCTTCCCCACCCCTGGCCAGTTTCCCTGCTGGTAGATCAAGTCAACTCCTATACTCTCCAAGAATTTCTTTCCGTGGCTAACTGCTGAGCACAGTTCCAAGGTCTGTCATCTCCCGTGGCATTTCTCCAGGAGACAAGATTCAATCTGTATTTCTTTGCTATCTTGCCCTGAACCAGAAGCTTCGTAAATTTCCCAAGATCACCAGCTGTGAGTGAAGGAGCTAAGGTTCAGGCTTTGATCCTTTTTACTCCAATCTTTGTGATTGTAGCCCCTAAACTATGCTCAGGGTTTGCTGAAAGGTGATTGGGTCAGATTATCCATTCAACTAAAAAATTATTTCATTCCAAATGTTTCCCACTAACCAAAACATGGGCTCCTTAGACAAATGGCAAACTTCCAAGTCTGAGGAAAGAAATGTACAAGAAACGTATCAAAAGAACACTAGGGTCATAACCAAAGAACTCAGGAACCACCTTGAAGAGATTCTCAGTGGGTGTAGATAGACTAATTTTAGCACCAGTAAGTATAATAACAGCAATTAGTTACAAAATTTCAACTGTGTTGAAACCTGTTAAGTTCATAATGGTACAAGAAAAAAGAAGAAAACGAGAAAAAAAACCCTAACTAGTCACCATTGGAACCAACTCATTATTTTGAAAAATGATAAATGAAGGCATAGAAATAAATCACCATGTCTTTCTTAAGAAATTACACCACTGGTAACCAAATAGTAGATGAGGAGGGATTTTACATGATGGAAATACCCTAGATAACAAATAAAAGGGATGATGAAATTAGAATATCACTATTTACAACTTCTGATAAGGAATGGATCTAGGCAAGAGCTTCAGTGGTTGCTAACATCACAAAAAGAGGACTATTTTGAGGACTAAAGAGAGTCAAACATATTTTGTTTTGAAAAAGATAATCTGAACCTAATCAGGCCTCTAGATAGAGTTAGCTACCAATTTATAAAAAATGCACGTCAGAGGAGTATGTTTAAACAGATCTCAGAGATCACTAAATGAGCATTAGCAAAATGTAGGCTGTGGGAGCGTCCAGAAGAAAACTTTTTTTTTTCCTTTTAAACAAATACATTTCAGTGGTGGGGAAGAAATAAGGTTAATGTATACATTGAAAGAGACTTAAAAGACATATCAACTATCACGACATGTGGCCTTATCTGTATCCTGATTCAAACAGCATCTAAGTAAAAAGTTATTTATCTACTTATGAAGACCTTTGAACACTGATTAGATATTAAGAAATTGTTATGAAATATTTTAGATAACTGATATTGTTTTTATGTTAAAAATAGTTCCTCTTAAACATATGTACATATATGTACACATATTTTTAAAATTTATTATAGTTGAAATGTTATATTTCTGCTTTGCTTCCAAATAAGACAGAAGGTGAGAAATTTATGGGGGTGTAGGTAAAGCAAGATTGGCAAAGAGCTTATGATTGCTGAAACTTGTTGATGGATATATGGGCATTCATTTTACTATTCTGGTTAATTTTGTGTAAGTATGAAATAATAAAGTTAAAAGCCTAATAATAAAGAGTTTAAAAAAGAAAAATAGAATAATATGTCCTCATTTCAAATATTATTGAAGTATATAATTAAAAGATAGGTTGCATTTTTTTTTTTTTTAGGTTGCATGTTTTTAAATCCTATTTCCATCTTAAAATTCCCTGCAGGTGATCAGTTTAATTCTATACTGATACAAAGATTTTATGAGTTATTTTATAGCTATATATATGTCAAGTGCAAGAGAAAGCTGAAGCAAAGTGTTAGCTACTACAAAATGCTGTCAGCCATCCTACATTTTTGGTAGGATAGACACAAGATTGTACATTGTTTTAAAGTCTGTAATTATACATATCAAACTGTTAACAAAATAGAAGCAAAAAATGACATTTTCATTTGTACTAAATTTGGGATTTGAAGCTATCAGAACAAGTTCCAAAATATTTCACTTAGGAGAAAACACAGTATAAACATTCTAAACTGAGGAAACAAATTTGTTTAGGATTGGATTGAAGGAATCTTCACTCAAAACAAGTAAGCATAAGTATAGCTTAGGGCTTCTTTAGATGGTGCATTCCACTACTGATTTTGATTTTTAAGTTCTACTGAATTTATACATAACTTTTCAAATGCACACACTCCATGATCCATGATCTGGATTTGAAGTCAGAAGGACTGAGTCTATTGGTAACCTGTGTGCTGGGAATCCAAACAACTGGTCAATCCTGTCAATGAGGTTTTTAAAATCATCTGTTTCAGCTAGAAATACTCCATTTAAATACTTGATAAATTACTCACAGTAGACCTGTCCAGGAAAGAGAAGAAAAGAAAGCTCAGCAAGCATAAGAATATAAATAGCCACCAAGTATCATAACTACATGGGCCTTATTTAAAAACAGAGAGAGAAACACTTAGGGTGTGCATCAATCTTATTATCTCTTTTCTGACAAGAAGCAGAAAGATGGACTTGTAGGGCCCTTCTGCATGCCAGGAACCACCTACTCCCACCCATCTGCTAGGCCAGCTCCATATGTTCTCTAAAATCAATGTATCTCTGTGAGATTTTTTTTTCCAATTAGGGAGAGCGTCTTTCCTACTCAATTTTTCTGCAAACTCCTCAAAGCACTTACATGATTGGATTTGTGTAAAATTTAATCTATTTATTATAGATGGTATATAAATTAATATTGGCTAATGTTAATTATTCTTTTCTGTGTATCCAGCTGATATTAGCATTAGTTCAAAAGTGTTAATAAGCCCTTACTGTTTGTTAAGTGTTGATAATATACAGTTGAATAAGACATGTTTTGGGGTGAACTTTTTAAACAATCTTCCATATTTATACTAAAGCAGGGATCTGTTATCATCTTTTGATAATTTCTTATCTGTAAGACAAAATTATGCATGAATACATGGTTTTTTATATAAATGAAGGGTGTTTTTTTATAATACAATTTGGGGAAAAGGTTCAATAGCTACTTTCCTTGAAACATTATTACCACGTCTTTCTGTATTCTTTAATTTTAAAAAGAATCATTTGAATTAAGTGATACTTAAGGTAAAATTTGAAAAATATTATGATATCATCAAATCATGACAATTTAGGAAAACAGTCCTTAGGAGGAGCACAAGAATATCATTTCTGGCTAAAATAGCACTTTGCTGTAAGAACTGTAAATGAAGCATATTAAAGGAGTCTGACTTCAGAATTCCTAGTATTTGAAAACCATATGAAGGAAGAAAACAATGTTAAAATAAGGAACTAAAAATTTTACTCTAAATAATAGCTGTTCTGCAGAATGACTTACATCTTTCTGTGTGTTTTCTATCTGACTAAACACACATTTTTATTGATTTGCAATCAGCAAAGCCATTGGTACCCATTTTAGTATAGAAAGCAAGCACTCTAGGAAAAACATTTGAGAAAACTCTCTCTATATCGTGGAAAAACATTTGAGAAAACTACTGTAGTAGTCATTTCTAAACCAAATTCTGTAACTGAGAAAGTAAATATTAATATATGGCCACACAAAACTATAAATTTCCTCAAAAATGCATAGAAATAAGTGAGTTATGAAAAGTTGGCAGGACAGGGATGTGATTCATGTGTGAGACCCTCCACTCATGCTGTTGCTGGCCAGGCCTGGGTCACTGGAGCACAGGGCACTTGTCTACATTCTGTAACCCCTGCTGAGCTCACCAATGTCTTAGCAAGAGTTTGTAAGAGGAGAAAGTGACATTTTCACTCATACTAAAACTGAGATTTCATCAGAATAGTTCAGCGGTGCCTCATTTTGGAGAAAACCTAATATAAAAATTCCAAACTCATGAACTCAATATATTGAGGGATTGTTTCTCATTCAAGGTAAATAGCCAAAGCTCTAATCACGGGCTCATTTATATTATGTGCTCCAGTATTGATTATACATCAGAATTCAAAATTTATACAAATTATACACACACATATACACACACATGATGTAGTATTTTGATTTGAGGTTGGGCATGAGATTATTACAAGTTGTAATAATGGCCTTGTAACTCTACAATTCATTTGTGGATCCTTGTTTTCCAAACTATACAGTCAGGAAAACTGGCCTAAAACCCAGTTTTAACTCTAAAACTGTGTGATCCTCTTATTTCTCCAAGACACGTTTACTACATCAGTAGTATAAGTTCACAGTTCCCTTATATGCCTTGTCCCCAGACTCTCTATTTTGAAGAGCAGTGGTTTTGGCCAATGGTATAGAAACTACACAAGTAAACTTGTGGTTCTAGAACTTTGACTTGTATACATCTGAACTTTTTGGGACATGTCAAGAAAAAATGTTTTTAATCTCCAAATATCAGTACAGAATTCTACCTGAGACTTTCTACAGGTAAAATAAAACAGTTGTCTTTTCTTAAGAAAAATCTCTGGAAGAGCAAGTTAGCACAACAAATGTTCTCTGCTGTTTCTCCAAATAGTCTCTTAAGTTTTTAAGGTCTGCCACCATTTGTCTATTAGTGGAGGAGAGCATTATAAATAGGTAACAAATGAACGCAGATGGAGAAATAGAAGACTACTGAATTTTAGTTCAAGAGTTATGTATGCCTATAAACTTATGGCCATAGTTTTCGATTCCTACATAAACTATCATCATTTACTAACTCAGCAACTATAACTTGAACTCTCATTGTGTGCCAGGCCTTGTGCTAGACACTAGACGCAAGAAGATAGAACCAGACAGGCTTTGGCCTCATGAAAGTTACAGCTGGCACAGACCATAAGCACTAAATAAATTGTTATACCAAATACATTCATAATCACAAATTGTGCTAAATGTAATGAAGGGAGAAAAATGAGAGTATCAAGAGAAAGAGGGTAAATCTCCTAACTTAGAATTTGGGATACTTGAATCTTCAAAACAGCTTCTCTTTTAAGCCAAGTCAAATGTGATCCCTGAGGCCAGGCTGAGTGTATCAGTCAGAGGTCTCCAAAGAAACAAAATCAATAGAAGCTATATATTTGGCTTCCCTGGTGGCTCCATGGTAAAGAATTCACCTGCCAATG